ATAGATAGATAGATCATTTCATCATCCTCAGTTGCATTATTAATCTCTATTTATCACAGTAATATTTCTTAAAATTATCATAATGATTTGCATTGTGTTTTAAGCATTTCTTGTTGACTTGGGACTTGTTATTCCTGGCTTGACTTAAGGGTTACTTGTGACTTATTGTGAAATATATATGTATATATGTTTTGTGCCAATAAATATTCCAATACTATTTAATATTAAATATATCTGTGTAAATGTAGCTAATTGATTCCCACCTCTTCTAGAACCCTCTAATTAAGGTTGCTGCAATTTGATTTATTATTTATGTCAACGAGAAACTGAGCAAGCACAGCCAATAAAGTGGTGAGAAAGTTTGCTGAAAAACTGGGTGATTAAAAGTGGACTGCTTAAATTATTATAATACACCGAATTGAAAATACTTTTCAAAGGTTTAAGATTTATCTCTGCAATCAGGCCTTTAATTACAAAGGGCTAGATATGTTTCAAATGGGAATTTGTAAACGATGGTAGTGGAATAAGAAAAGCAGCAAACAACTAAACCACAGTTTTTTTTAATGCCATGCTCGACCATTTAATGCTCTGTATATTCAGAGCAGATGTGTGTGAGACTTATGTAAGATACACAGTCCGATTCACCATTTCATTTGCCTTTGATAATGCACATCTGGGTGTTACCCTTGATGCTGTTAGCTGGCATGTCATGCTGGGTTTATGGGGAGATTCCTACTTAGTAGATGACATCCATCATGGAGAAATTTGGTGGAATTTGTTTATGTTTGTGTGTCTCTCATTGCAACCCATTGGTCACATGAAGACTTATCTCCATGGGTTTATAGTTCTCTATCCCATGGTTTTGTTTTTCAGCATGGATTTTTATACAAAATGGTTAAATCTGTTTTACATCCATTGTTTGACGTTCTGCATATTGAAATAATAAATTTAGAAATGGGCAATCAGAGTCCATTTGCAGGGCTATTTGCTGTTTGAAATCCAGTTTGTTTAGTTCATCATGTATTTTAGGATATCTTACACAAGGTTTCATGAATAGGATGATCCTAAAACTTTGTTACTCAGTATACAATACAAGAACTGGAAGGACACAAAGAAAGATTTATTACCCATCGTATTGCCATCAGATTTACAACTAACTCATAGGATAAAGGGAGACTCGATAGCTGTAAGAGCCATTTGTAGTTTGGTGTTTCATTTGGTTTGATCTGGGTGGCAATATTTTCACCTATATTTCACTTAACCTCTGGTGGCGGTGTGGGGGTGAAAGCTATGTAGATGCAGAGGTGACAGAGCAAAAGGTTTTGGCTGATTGTTTATCATCTGGGTTTGACTTGCAGCTACACATTGGTTAACCTCGGTCTTATCTTACTGTAATTTGTCAACCATCCAGCCTGCTCATATCGCATCTTTAGATTTTGGACCATCATTCATTTTCCGTTTATATTCAATAACTGGGAGAAACCCCAAAGCTACCTCTCAGTCTTGACAAAGTTTCTCTGAGTGCATTAGAATCTGGATAAGCCACACTCAAAAGTGATTAAAATGTAATGACTTGATAGTCGCTACAGTAGTTATTAAGATCTTTGTCTAGCATAAAACCTTACATGTTTCAATAAGGCATAATTAACCATTGTTAAGGTAACTCATTCACCCAGACATCAGAGCCTTTGGGGATTATCATTGAGCTTTAGCTTTCAATTTGTCATTTCTGTTCTTTGTCATTTGAATTGATAGAAATGTTTCCTGAATTCATTTAATCTCAGTCTTTTTTATAGCTTTATCTACATTTGTGCTGCTTAATTTCACATTCTCCTTTGATTTAATCTTTTTCCTCTCTTTTTCCTCAGGTCAAGACCCAGTGATTGAAACGCAAAAAGAAGACAGAAGAAGAGAGAGAAAGGCCATGGGGCTTTATAAAGGGAAAAATGTATGTTGGCACCAGCCTTTCTTCTTCTTGCTGCTGATGATCACAGTGTCATCCACCCAAAGTCAAGGATGTCCTCAGCGTTGCGATTGCATTACCAAGCTGAAGACTGTGTCCTGTTTTGCTAAACGCCTTTCCTCCCTGCCAGAGGGAATCCCACCAGACACCAAAGTCTTGGACCTAAGTGGGAATAAACTACGCTGGATAGAACAAGATGATCTTCTTCCATATTCACGCCTGGAAAAATTAGAACTTAGTGATAATATGATCAGCGTCCTGGAGCCAAATGCATTTTCAAGTCTTCAGAACTTGCAGACACTTTCTCTAAGGGGTAACCAGTTAAAACTGGTTCCAATGGGTGCTTTCTCACGTCTTTCCAACCTCACCTCATTGGATTTAAGTGGAAATAAGATTGTAATTCTTTTGGACTACACTTTTCAGGACCTAAAAAGTCTGAAGAATCTGGAAGTTGGTGACAATGACTTGGTTTACATATCTAACAAAGCTTTTCTGGGTTTGGTAGGACTCAGGGAACTGACAATTGAAAGATGCAACCTGACATCAGTGTCCAGTCAATCATTATCTTATCTACATAATCTAGTAACTCTGAGGCTCCGATATCTTAGCATATCCTCCTTAGACGACCAGAATTTTCGAAAACTTGGAAATCTTAGGGGTCTGGAGATTGATCACTGGCCATTTTTGGAATACATATCCCCTCATAGCCTACAGGGCCTTAATTTGTCTTGGCTGTCCATCACCCACACCAACATCACCTCTGTACCAACATCTGCACTTCGTAGTCTGGCTCACCTCACCATCCTCAATCTTTCTTACAACCCAATAACTGTGTTGGAGTCTTGGGGCCTGCGAGACCTCATCAGGCTGAAGGAGCTGCATCTAGTCAACACTAACCTGGCAGTAGTGCAGCCCTATGCGCTTGGGGGTCTGAGGCAAATACGGCTTCTAAATCTTTCAAGCAACAGGTTGGTAACCCTAGAGGAGGGAGCCTTTCAGTCTGTCAACACTTTGGAGACGCTTCGTTTGGACAGAAACCCTCTTGCATGCGATTGTCGTCTGCTCTGGATCCTTCAACGTAGGAAGACCCTTAATTTTGATGGTGCCTCCCCTGTGTGTATAGCCCCTGTTGAAGTCCAAGGACGGGCTCTGAGTGCTTTCACTGACTCAGCTCTATTTGACCACTTTACCTGTCAGAAGCCTAAAATCCGTAACAGGAAACTGCAGCAGATATCTGCACGTGAAGGGCAAGTCGTTTCATTTATCTGCAGAGCAGAAGGTGAACCCACACCAATTATATACTGGATTACTCCTCAGCGTCGGCGCATAACTACAAAAAGTAGTGGACGCTTGACTGTATTACCGGAGGGCACCCTGGAAATACGTTATGCCCAGGTAACAGATAGTGGAACCTACATTTGTATAGCTAGCAATGCTGGTGGAAATGACACCTACTTTGCTACACTTACAGTAAGTGGACTGCCGCTGGATGCAGCACTCATGGCTAACCGCACATATTATGCGGGGGACCTTAATGACACAAATTTGAATGACACCAAGGTGTTCTTGAAGTTCACCCTTGACCTTAAAACCATTCTTATATCTACAGCTATGGGCTGTATCATGTTTCTGGGAGTGGTCCTGTTCTGCTTCATATTGCTTTTTGTGTGGAGTCGGGGGAGAGGACAGCACAAGAACAACTTCTCTGTTGAGTATTCTTTCAGAAAAGTTGACGGACCTGCAGCCAGTGGAGGCCAAGGGGGTGCACGCAAGTTCAACATGAAAATGATTTGACTCTGCAAAACTCTTGGTGTCTTATATTTGTTTGTTTATAAACTAAGACGAAAAGTAACAGGACAAATGTGGAAAAACGTAAAAAATGGATCATCCTATGGACAATTTATTAGATGGGTTTTTTTTAACTGTTGTATGCATGCAAAATGTCAAACTACAGTATGATGCTTTGATACATTTCTACAGCTATTTGTTTTGTTCATATAATTGTAAATATTAATTCAATTCAAGTGAAATAGGTCTCAAAACTTTGAAGAGACTGTTAAAAACCAAACCACTTAAGCACTCTACATTCTTCCAGTATTAAACCTTCACAAAAGTCATGCTGATGCGTTCTTTCCTGAAATGATGTCATCCTCACCTTTGACCTCCAACCCTCTGCTCCATTTGAGGTGACTCAAGAACACCCTGCTGATGAAGACACAACTACAAGGTGGTGCTTAGTAATTGCCAAGGACTATAACTATTTAATGCAAATCTAAACCTGTATAAGATGCAGGCATTTCACAATGCGTTATCCAATGGATTTTTTTGAAAATAGACCAACTTAGTACCAGTCTCTGGAACACTGCCACTTTCACTACAGAGCACATTGTGCCGAGCTGGACAGATTTATTTAAACCCTGGATAAAGTACTGTAAAAAAATAAATAAATAAATAAATAATAATAATATTTGCTTTAGTTGCAAAAGTTGGGTCTCACATTAGATTTGTTGTAAAAAAATGGAACCTTTGAGTTATTTATTTAGCTATGGTACTTCTAATATCCCTTGAAAAACAAGAAAAACTAAAATCTTTAAACAAACTAATACCTTATTACCTTATAGCTTATGTATTCAAAGAGAGAGACCCAGTTCTGTTAGCTACTGGCCTACAGTGTGCACAAAGCCTCATATTTATGTCTTTATGCCAGACAAACCTGTGGGTTAAGATGAGTTTAGGATTGAGATTTTAGGACAAATAAACCCCACCTCAGATGGGTTTGGTATAAAACGCACAATAAATTGTGGAAATGTACCTCATGGAAGTGATGTATACTCTGTTACAGTGGTGGCCTGCTTCTCTTCCAAAAAGCCTGGGAACCATATTAGAGTTGATATTGTCATTACACTGTCATGGTTACAGAGCAAAATTAACTCTCTGCATTTAATTCATCCCCTTGGGGAGCAGTGGGCTGCCATTGTGTGGCTCCCGGGGAGCATTGTGGGCGTTAAGGGTCTTTGCTCAGAGACCTAGAGTGGCAGTCTGTGGGAGTGGGGCTCGAGCTCAGAACCTTAGAATTCCAAGCTCTATGCCTTAACCACTAGGTCGCCACTCCCATCAGAGTCTCCTGTCCAGCATCAAGAACTCTAGGAAATACCAGGAATTTCAGAGTCTTTAATAGGATACTAATCTGAACCATATGCTTAGATCGACTTAGCAATGATTTGCTAATAGCGCTGAAACAATTAATCAATTATTTTAATAACCGTCAACTAATTAGTAAATAATTAACTGTTAACTAGAGTATAGAGACTCTGAAACATGTCTTTAGCTGACAGAGCAACCCAATTAGCAGTAATTATACCAAAATTATTTTTTTTAAAATGTATAAACATGTTGCATTTAGGATAAGAAAACTTTCTCTTCTGTCAATATGCTCTAACCAGAACTCCTCAAGTGAAATCAATTTAGTTTTACCTAGTTTAATGTTGTAAAAAGTCTTCTTTAAGGAATGTTTTGCTGTTGGATTATTAATTGAAAAAATAATCAACAGATTTATTAATTTGCAAAACAATTGTTAGTTGCAGCCCTCCTTGCTATGCACAAAATCTACCCTTCATGTTAATCCCAGTCCTTGGAAGTAAATCCTAGAAAACCTGTGAAGGTAACAAAAGGGAGGCCAGCATATTAGAGAAAACAGGACTCAGAGGGCTCTAACCTTGTAAAATGTTACAGGAAAGACCATGCGCTCTCCCTATGACAAAAACTGAGGGCCCAAAGTCCTGATAGGAGGGTAACCAGCTGTTTTGAAATCAAGGTTTCTGTGGGAATCACTTAATAAATGTGCTGAAATTTCCAGTTGAGGAATAGACTATTACAAGAAGAGATAGCTGATCTAATGGTTTATTCTTATCCATGGTTGCCAACAAACTTTTCAGCCACTGTAATAGCTCTATGGAAGCGAAAACTCACTTCTACCTGTATAAGTTAAAGCTGTTAAAAACATTGCAGCCAATATACAGTATAAGCTATAATGGGACCCAAGAGAACACCTGTGTGCTGACAAATTACGAGGACTCATTGCTAGTTATGTCTTTCATGTTGTCTTTTTTGGTAAATATGTGCAAGGATCTTATCCTCTTTCTATGAAAAAAATAAATAAAAGTGAATTCGTGTACATACCTTGCTTCTTAGGTTGAAGAATTTGTATTTATAAAAAGAACAGCCTTTGGTGTGTATTGATTACCAAAGTTGTATGGACAAATGTGAAGTATAGAAGATGTATCATATATTTTGTAATAGCTGATTTTAACTGATTATTAATCTGATTTTACTGTGCTACTGTTTTTAACCTGCTAAAGCATCCCTCTGCAATCAGTGAACTTCAGTGCAACTGTAAACACAACTGTAAATATACAGCCATCATGTAAATGTTGCTGCTTGTTGCCGTTAACCAATCATAAAGGACATTCACTGTGCAGGAGGTTTCAGTTCAGTTGCCTATTTTTAGCTTTGTAAGTGTCAAGGTGAGGAGCTTTGACTGAGCCAAGGGTGAGGAACCTTTGTAAACATGTAGAGAAACTGCTAATGTAAAACTGAGCTGGGTTTATTTATACATAAAAGGCTGTAACTCAGGGGCATTAGACCCCTAAGTATGGACATATGAATGGTAGATGTATGAGGTGTGACAATGGGACATGGGACCACTTTAATATGCATCATTACGATCTAAATTAGGACCTAACTTTGCAGATGATAACCCTGCAAGTCTGCAATACTCTAAAATTGTCCAGCTATTTTACACAATTACAATATCCAATATTGTTGCTCTGCTGCCCTCTGTTGACGTAAAACAGTTATTGAGTTTTGCATCAACAACCTGTAGACTACCCCATTTTCTCATAATGGAAACATTTAAAATTTGGAGATGACTGACCTGAATCTAGGGCTGCAGAAAATGTAAGTTTATTTTTGCACTTATACCCTGTTTCTAAGTTTAAAACTAAACATTAACAATTTCTAGTTCTCTACCAGATATATCAGGATTTAGCAATTTCCTTATCCTTAACAATGATCCAGTGTATCTATAACATAGTTCTATCGACATTTTATAGAAAAAAAACTTAACCACAATATTTTTAATAAAAATGGGTTATTTTCATATAAAATTCCCATGTACAATTGTTGTTTTATTATGTGTTACAATGCCATTATGTGGTTTCATTATTTTTGAATCTGATGTACATTTGATTACAGAGTCAATATTAAACCTGTGACATTTATTCTCAAGGTTGATCTTGTAAATAGATGACATTACTTTTAAGAAATACCAGAATATTAGAATTAAAATCTCTTAAAAATTAGAAATCAGGTTCCACCATTCAGCTGAAAATGGTTTATCACTGACTCTTTTCAACTGGGTGATCACCCGGAAAAAAAAAAAAAAGATTATTTAAAGATTGTGCAAAGAGGAATTGTCCGAGGTACCTTTCACACATGTATAGCCAAAAGACAATAAACTACTGCAAATGTAAAAAAAAAAAAAAAAAAAAAGAAAAATACTTTTTTGGAGCAGGTTGAAGTAATAACATTTGTTACATGATAGTGTTTGAAGCAAATGAGGAAAGCAGCCCCATTAAGCCTCAGTGGTAAACTACTTTGAATTTTTATTCGTGTTTTTTTAATCTGTACAAGAGTTTTACCCTTTTGATTTAGACATCTGTAAATGCATGTCCAGACTGTGCTTCTTACTTTGAAAATTTTTGGATTGATTAATTTACCACCAGCCAGTCAGAATTGATCACTGACATTGTATTGAAAGAATAGACTTGTGAAAGAAGTCATACATATTTTGTCGTTTCAGAAAGTACAGAAATCAATAAAAGCTTGAGAGCAGATATAAGCATTCACTTCATTGAATTGTTTGTGTATAACTGCCTCTCCAGACATAGACATAAAGAAACCTGAACTAATCTAAAAATAAACAAACAAAAAAATGTCAAATGCAAAAATAATCAATTTTTAAATTTCGAGATTTCTCCTTATTTGAGTAGGATGTGGAAAAAAGGTAAGACGCTCTCGAAAAAATTTGCTTCCTGATGAAAAATTCTTTGCCTGATGAGGTGCCTCCATTTTTGAACAAGCAGGGAGGAGGAGAACCTGTAAGATCTTTGAATTCCCGAGACTGGTAAGTGATTTACCTCATCATGCTCCTGTAACATCACTACTGTTATGGAAAAATTCCAGGTAGCTGGAAGTTTTACTAAAATCAGAAGCAGTTACACACATTTAAAGTTACTGCTGTTTTTTTTTTTTTTTTTTTTTTGTGTGTGTGTGTGTGTGTGTGTGTGTGTGTGTGTGTGTGTGTGTGTGTGTGTGTGACACATGGTTAAAATGTACTTACCGGTGTGCATATTTTTACATATGTTAGTAGTTGGGCTACCATCCCTGGAAAAAACATAGGCTTTTTGTAGCCCTAAACACGCTTCTGCCATAGTCTTAGTTGGATTTTTGTCAACTCTCATCTACTCAATCCTTTCTAAAGATCCAATTTGATTTATGTTGGGCATTGTTGCCCTTTCAAAACACTTTATCCAATTGTTAATTATGAAGTTGTTAAAAGAGATCAAACTAAACATTTCATCCTAAATTCTGAACACTTGGTGTGAAGCTACTGCCATGTTTGACAGCTGTTTTTGTGTTGTTTGGTTTGAAAGCCATACATCTACTTGTCTAAGGCAACGATGTGTTTCACATGGGCTAATGGTGTGAGAAACCTTTGACAATTAAGCTATCTTAAGAAGGTCTGGCTATTTAAATTGGAAATCACTGTTTTTAAACATAGTTTAATTAAGATTTTAGATCTCCCCTTTAATTTCTGTAGTTTTTTTTAGACATAACTCAAAATTTTTAGTATTAGTAATAGTCATATTGAGTTTCCATTCTGTCAAACAAGTTATTAAGGTACACCGGTGTTTTTGTGTCCTAATGTATGGCACCTTCCTGTACATTACTGCTTTTATGTATAATTTAGAGCCCATGTGATATCTCGAAAAAAAAACGCAAAACACATTTGCATGTATGCATCCAGTTCATATGTAGGAAAATCAGTGAAAATGTATTTTAATCAAGCCTAGGTAGAAGTTAAACTGAAGAAACTAAATTACTCATCTGCCTCCAACGCTAGCCAATCAGCTTTGAACCGCACCTCAACGAAGCCCAATCAGCATCCAGAGTTCATCTTTAAAGGTCTTCAAATCCACGACTCAGCCTGCTACCCATCCAAAGCGCAAGCAGTGGTTGCGCATGGCTGATTTTGACTCAGATGACCCCGATTCAACCCACCTCCATCCCCTTTTCCATCATCTTAGCTAAGCCCCATCTGGTTTTTCCATGGTGCTTCTTCAACCTCGTCCCTATCAGAGTGAAACTCCTCCTGGAATTCCTATTGCATTCTCTGTCACATCTCAATCAGTCCAGCAGAAGACCGCCATTTTGAGCTTGGTTCTGCCAGAGGTTCTTCCCAAAGGAGAGTTTTTCCTCTCCACTGTCGTTTCATGGTTGCTCATCATGGACAAGTTCATACAAACCTGTATTTATCCAAGATGGACATCTATCTTCCAGGTACACTGAGTGAAGCACTAGTATCAGCTCACACCCTGATACTAAACAACCAGCAGTCTATGGTCTGAGCCAACTTCATCTATCTCCACTCCACCACCAGTTTGAGCCCTGGGGGGAAACATCCCTGATCTCATACACCTGCTTATGCATATTAAAGTAAAATTAAGCACTTAATGTTTCTTGCTGAGGTCTGAGCTCCAGAGTCTTAAAATAATTGTATCAACAAAATTCTTCTGTTTTTTTCTTTCAGTGTGAGATTTTCAGACGGAAATGAACCATCATATCCTAGGGAATAGACAAGCTTCAAATTTACTGATAAAGCCACATGTTAATGACCAAATACTAAAGTTTTAATTAAAAATCCACCAATTCTTATATATATATTTATAAACTATCGCTGACAATGTCATTTGCCTTTTTTGCTACTATTACTAAATTTTCACTGCTTTTCTTATAGCAAACATGACAAAATCGAGTTCCACAAAATGAGGAAATTGTACATGCCTTTGCATAAAGAAGAAAGGGAAACAGCACAGAAAGAAACCCTTATTGCAAATTTTTAAATACAAGTAAATGCTCTTTCAGACGTAAGACCTACTAAAAACAGTTTGAGTTGACTTTCAGATGACCATTCCTCCTCAGAATGCATAGCTCAAATTGAAAGGGGAAAAACGAATGTACAACGCCTGCGCTGCGGGGTCGGTTGCTGACACTTCTAACACTTTGTTGGTGCTTAATGCTCTGACAGTCCCCACACTTATGTCCACAAATATGGCAAAGTATGACTCATCGAGTGATAAGTCCACACCTCAGAGGACTGTGCATAAAGGGCTTTCGCACCTTTGATATCATAAATATCTTAATTTTTGAAGCATGCATTACATATTCTTGTTATGGTAATGCAAGTACCGTCAAGAAGCTGTTTTCCTCTACTACTAAATTTAACAAATGAACTGCTCTCCTGCACACTACTCATTTTATTTCTCAAGGGAGGAACTTAAAAAGGTACCTTGTGGAACATTACATTTGACAGATAAAATTGTATTTTTTTTGTTTATTTAAAATTTTGAAGCAATTAACTTTAAGTCTTTAGTGTCTTTATGTGAAACTCCCTCCTACATTTGTGTGTGCTGACTTCAGCCACCTTGCAGAGGAGGGGGTCGTTGAAGAGGAATTGACGCTTTTTTTTGCATAATACCTCAGATCAGAAGTCATGGAAATATGCATCACCAGCAACGCCCTCTATACTGGCATTCATGTGAAATTACACCACTGAACTTAGTAGTCTGCAGAATTTGATGTATACAATAAGTCACTGACTCAAATAGGGTACAACTGGCAAAATGTGCAGCAACTTTTTTCTCTCGTGCTTCTGTCATTTAGTTAGGAGAGGAAATGATGTCAGAATGCACTTTAGCACAGTGATACTGAACTTCTGTTTCAACTGAGCTATTTTTGGTGGTACGCTGGAAACATTGATTGGGTGAGCAAGATGATATAACGTGGTGCGTGCACACGTATGAGTGTGTACGTTTGTGTGTGCGGGGTGACTACACACATTGTGTTACCATGGTGTCGAAATGCGGTGGCCTAAATGGGATTGTAGTGGTTAGCAGTTGCTGAGCAGAAAAAAAAGTAAATCACCTGCAGAAAATATGAGCATTTCTTTTTGTCTTTTCATATGTAGGCCAATTAGGTGCAAAACATTATTTCGACATTATTTCTTTTGAATAATCATTATGTTCAAATTTCCGTTCTAATCCTGCATTACATCAGCCAGGGCCGAATGACACACTTTTTCAGGTTTGCTTTAGTTTTCTTTTGACGAAAGGGTGGCAGAATCAGTCTTGTATAGCTTCCTTATATTTGTTGCTCAGAATAATAATGCTCAGTTGTTTTGTTGTTGTTTTTTTCCCCACATATTTTTTGACAGTGATTTTTAAAATCGCTATTTTTTAAAATATCAAATTAGGCACTTGATTTGTGTTCAGTGTCTAATAAAGGTACTGCATTATCATTTCATTGTGTGGCAAAACCAAAAGAACAGAGAGGAAAAGGATACTTATTATAAAACATTACTGTATTGCCATGAGTTCCATTAGTAAATTAAAGTCTAGTTTTTCTTATTGTTCTGGAGGAAACAACTGCAAGTTGTGAACTTGTGATTATTGGAGTGAAATTCTATACAAAGTTCCAGAAATATGATTGAGATGGCGGTGAAGGGTGGAGAATGAATGTGAGTTGAAATAGTTGTGAAGAGATCCAAGGAGCAGGTCTGAGGAGGAGCAATCGGAGGAGCTGTGATGGGATTCATCTGAGGGGATCCAGAGTAAAGTTCACAGTCTGGGACACAAGGAGGCAGAGAAAGGAAGACCGGACCTAAGGCTGCAAACAGGAATAATGGTAATATCCGGAAAGCTCCTTGTGTTTGTAAAATAACTAAAGCTGAAAGGACACAAGAGCCAGTCTGCGTTGTTTTAAAGGAAAAATGGTAAGGAAGACACTGCCTGCACACAGCCCTGTA